TATATATATTATATATAGACAATCTTCAAGTTTTCCATAGATATATGTGAATTGTATAATTTGTACTAGGGCTTTGACTAAAATTAGGGTAAAATCATAGTCACTTTTTTTTTGTTTCATTGTGAATTTACATCACAGCCTCCTAAGGATTATGTTACATTTTCATTGAATGCCAATTAGCATATATTACCAAAAATGCTTGGCTATATATGTCTCTGCTACAAAGTCTATAATTATTTACTAGGTACAATGTGAATACTTTATATCATGGGCCCTTGGATTCTGGTTGTTTTCCAAAAGCCTGCTATAGGGCTTTTGAATTCCATCAGGTAACCTTAATTCCGTAAATAAGTTCTCCTTTGTAGCTTTAGCTGATTGGAATAGAATTTAAACACTTACCTCAAAATGATTACTAATTAAGAATTCTATTATTCAGTCTTTCACTGTGACACAAACCCACACATGCCTTTCTCATCGTGGATGTTGCAAACTAAAAGTTCTCTTGCAGAGCTTGAAGGAGGACAAATTATAATAGCAATCATGTATTAAATTTTGAGTTTCTTTCAAGCCTTTTATGGTTGTTATCATTCATTTTCTTAATCCTGTGAATTAGATATTTTTCAAAAGCCCTTTTTCCCTTCCTTCTTTCTGTTCTCCAATTCCTTTTTTCACAAATACTTGTTGCATTAGCCTTCCTTTAGTTTATTTTTTATTTTATTTATTTTATTTTTTATTTTGGATCCTGGGGGTGGAAGCCTTCCTTTAGCATTGCAGACTATAGTTGTTGTGCAGACTGCAGTCTTCACTGATTTTATCTGTACAAAATACTTGGCATTTATACATGCATCGACTATTTAGGACATTTAAAGTATGTATTAGTGCGTGTTTGCTGTATGTAATGTTTACTGTCCTTGTGTGAAGTTACATGTACATAATACATCATAATTCTTTTTTTTTTTCATTCACTTTCCCTATCCTCCCTGGCCCTTCTTTCCAACTCTAAATGTGCTTCCCCTTTGAAAAAGATCTGTCTCCCTACTTTTATTGTCTATTTTTTATTTTGCTCTTTATTTATAATTTGAGTTTCTTATAATAAATCATGTGATGTTTAAGCTGTGTGCCTGATTTATTTCACTAAATATTGATGGCTTTAATTGAACTATCCTACTTTTCATGTCATAGTACATAATTTTATGTGTTGTGGTATTGCTTTAAAAAATCCATAATTTAATTTTTGCTTTTTCTACAAAGGTCTGGTTTGTATGTTAATTGTTACATAAATGGTTAAGTTCCTTGTCATATATTAGTGCGTTTTACCTTCACAATAAATCCTGTAAGCAATGTTAGAAATATGTTTATATCATTTGGGGATGTATACAAAATATATTAAAAGGTGAGCTCAGGCTTACCCGGAAGCATTTGAAATAAGATGCATGATTCTTCTCTTTTCATGGCCTTTAATAAAATTGTGTTAAATTTAGCTGTATGTTTTTTCCTGGTATTGAAATTTACATGTTTGTTTCTGAACAAATGTACTACATTGTAACAGTACTGATCAATAATTGTAATACTCACCTTTATCACTGCACTATCCCTGTAGGGGTTTCCCAGATGGACAGAACAGTCCTAAAACAACATGGCTATCCTTTGTATCTCTCCATGTATTATTTTGTGTGTTTGAGAATATTGCTCTGCGCTAAGGTTGTCAGACTTCACTATTTTGGAGCAGCCTATGAGACACACAGGAAATAGGGACCAGAGGTTATGTCTCCGAATGGCTTGTATCATTTGTAGCATAGAACAAAGTGTTCTGGGACTTTCAAATAAATATATTTTAATGTTTACATGAATGGATCTATATTATGTATCAAAGCAAATGACCTATTTTACTTAAAGGTTGGTTTTATTTAAAAATAACTCCGTGGGAGTTGATGATGGTCAACTTGTACTTTAATAAATTATTAACTCTTTTCTGTCTCTGTGTGTCATTCGAGCTAGGTGAACTAACTTTGAAGGAAGGTTCCTTTTCCTGTGAAGAGAAAGAAGACCAAAACTCTGTCTCAAGCTGCCTCCTTCAGTCAGTTAACCATTTTAAATTCACCTTTCTCATAATGGATGCAGGTATTATTCATTCATTCTTCGTAACAACAAATATTTATTAATAATTTCCTATTATCTGTCATGAATTGTGCTAATGGGGCATAATAATGCTATGCCTTTCATAAGGTCGTTGTGAGAATCAAATGGCAGTGTACATGAAAGTACCTAATAAAATTTAATAGGCTACAAATATAAGAAACATTTCTAATGCCCTGTAAGATTTTAAATTGCTTTCTGAAATAGAGAAGATGAAATTATATTCAGCAGAGCTTTAATATTCAGGGAATTTTATTGAATTATAATTCTTAGAAATTGCTTTATATTGTAGCTTTCTTTAAAATGTATTATCCATTTTATCAGAATAGCAGGCTCCTTACTACACTATGTAATAAAAAATTATCTATTAAAAGTTTCTCCTACTCTTTGCATGTGCATGTGTGTGTTTAAGATGAAAGTATTCTAGCTACCTTGTTAGCATTTTCAGTTAAGGAAACCTTTATTTTGAAATTTCTTTTATCTCCCTCCAAATATGTATAAGATTTTATAATGCTTTTATTATCTAATGTCCCTCTTATCCTCCTATTCAAAATTACAGCACTTCACAGACTTATTTGATGCTTACTAGTCAAAATTAACCTGTCAGTGGCCTTGTAGTTATTACAGTAGAAGACATTAATGAAAAAGTTATCTGCTTTAATATACTTTTTAAAAAAAATTTAGCTCGAAAACACCATGGACACATTTCCAGGCCAACATGTGCAAGAATTTTGGAGGTTTGTAATAATAGCACTTAGAATTTTTAGGAAAAATCCAAAATATTTAAACCAATACCAAATATTCATTTATTGAGCTCCAGTTTATGCCCAAAAAGACTTTATGTTATTAGAATAAGAAAACATAAAGAAAGTATGGATTTATTTGATTAAAATGCAAAACTATTTTGTAGTTAGACTACTAACTCTTGATGATACGATCACTGTGAATTGTCTCATTTATTTAGAGAGAATGATGGAGCTCAAATGATCTTTTACGACAGTAGGGTTCACATAAGTACTGTGATATGTTGTATCAATGTTTACTGTTTGTCTTTCATAAATATTAATTGCTCCTCCTTGGGAGATAATTATAATCCTTGCACTAAAGTCTGTAGATTTTAAGGTCATTAGATTTTGTCTTAATAATATATGACAACAGCAAAATGTTACCTGCGAGGGAAAAGTTTCAGAATTAATTCATGAATGCTTCATGATTTTTTTTTTCCCATTCGTCAGGATAGGGACAAGACGGTAAAACAACACTGCCTGCTTGATTTCCGGATTAGTCGAGATTTTGCTTTGATGAATGAGTGGAATAGAGTCAGAACTGACCCATGGTGCTCATGTAACATGGGCAAGAAATAAACATTTGCCACTGTTACTGAAAATTCAAGTCCACAAAGGACTCCTATAACCTAATCTCTTCAGAGTGATATTCTTCGGGGGGGGAGGTTAATTGCATCTCTATCTCCTTTTTTCCACACTGACCCATAGGTGGTGCTCATTTACTGTTGGTTAAATTTAAAATGTGCACTGATTTTAAGTGAAAAGTCTATAAATGCTAGGAATGCAATTTAGGAAGTTAAAGCAATAACAGTTCTGGTCCTTAAATTGTCCAGTATCTCATGGGCAATAAGACATACTCATCTCCAGGGGACTTGTCTGTTGTTGTTTATTTTGTTTTGCTACCAGGGATTGAACATGGGTCCTCCAGTTTGCCATGCAGGTGGCACCACTGAGCTAAATCCCCGGCCCCATCTCCAGTTTTAATATCATGTGAAAAGTGGAGTAACCGGAATGTGCAGAATATGTAAATATTTGTTTAAAAGATGCTTGATTCAGAATGGGGCAGGGAGGGGAGGTTTAATTCAGAATAGGGCAGGTGGGTGATGTAATTCAGAAAGAGATATATAGAGGGAAAGCCCTTTGTCCCTCTGCCCATTCATTCACCTCTCCTTGCTTTAGTCTTTGATCTCCAAGGAAAGGTTCACTAACAGTTTGGTTTGAAGTATTAATTTTTATTGGCTTGTTAGTTGATTATCATAAGCTTGTGGTTAAAATACAAAAGTTTTACAATACAGCTTTTTAAAAATGTTACAACTTCAACAGATCTTGGCTAAAATCAAGGTGTTGTTAGGGCTATGTTCTTTTCTGTAGCCTCAAGAGGATATTCAACTATTGCAACTTTTCCAGCTTCTAAGGACTTCTCACATTCCTTGCCTTCTGGCCTCCTTACTTCTCCTTGAAAGCCGGTTATAATAGACTAAATATCTCTTGTTGGGATTTTCTATCATTTCTGACCTTTTATTTCTCTCCGTTCTTCCATTTTAACAACCTTGGTGATTAAACTGAGTCGAGAGATAATCCAGCATAATCATCATATTTTGTTGTCCTAATTTGGGCCCTCGAGGATTTAGTTAGCAATAATTTCTTTATCATTGATTTTAATTTTACCATAGGAAACTGACTTTCTCATATTCATCCGTTCAAAACTGTAACAGTTGAATTAGAAAATTCTTTCTTTACCAAAGACAGCAGCGTACTAAATCACTATGATACTACAATATTAAGATAAAGATGTCCCCCCTCAACTTGTAGGTACTCTTTCAAGAAATGTGAGACAAATTTACATTTGATTAGCAGCTTAATTCTACCTCCTATTCAAAACATTTTACCAATAAGGTAATATATTTACAGAATCCAGAGAATAGGATGTAGATATCTTTGAGTGAAGATAATATACTTACACAATTATTCTTTGCTTTATGAGATTTATTGAGCCAAATATTGTTGATTAAGATTTATATCTTAAAATAAAAGCGTACCTTCTTAACTTCTGGCTCACATTTGGATCAGACCTGCTCCTCTGCCTCACCTGGTCCTTTTCTACAGTTAGCTCCATTGCCAAGTGTTGTGACAGAAAACGAATTCATGGGTACAGAAGAGAAAACTCTTTTCTCTGTAGACTTAATCACCCTCCAACATCTTCCTATAATAGAAACCCTGAGAGATAAATCAGAATCACAATTCTGGAAAAAAATCTGATTTACATTCTTCAGTTATCTGTCATTTTTAAATTTTTAATTTTATTAGCACATTTGCAGTACATAATGATTACATTCATCATGATTAGTTGTTATATTTATGTACCTAATACATCTTAATTCTTCTTAAATCTCCTTACTCTTTTCTTCTACCCTCCCTAAATTGACAAGTTTGTCCAAAGTAATTAGATGTTAATATTTGGCCTAAAACAGCTTCTATGTGCAGTAAATAGTACCCTACCTTGATATGTAATCAGAGTGTAACTTAATCTTTGTATCCAGCCAACTGCATCTCAATCAATGAAAGTAGCTAAAACTTCTGCCTATTAGAGGCTGAACACTGCCAAATTTGACCTTAATATTCTAAGACCAATCTAATGCCAATCAGATTGTTTTTGTATGTCACTTTCTTTTCTCTGACTATAAATAGAACCTGCACATACTGTACAGTGTAGTGAGATAATCTGTCAAGGTAAGTCCAGATAGTTGCCCAGCTCTAGAAACATTTTCAATCAAATGAAACTTTTAAGTTTAACTATACTCAGACTATTTTTCTTATCTGAGATTATGTTTCTAACATGAGAAGCCCTGATAAAGAATCAAGCTCAGTTATATGTAAAATGGTCATTTGTTCATTTTTTTAATCCATTCTTTGGGGACAGTGGGGCAGTAAAATTCTGAAAGTTAGGTAGAACAAAGTGTCTTTCTATGTTACTCTTTTTTCCCCCTAAGAATAATGTACTATTTTCTGTGCAACCTTTAAGTATACTTTGAAAGCAGCTGATTTAAATCTTGTGGTTATTTGAGAGGGAACCCATTTCTAGATTCTTACCAGTATTCAAAATATCTGCTTTAGCAAAAATTCAGTATTTTAAAAGTGTCAACAAGACCTGTGGTGAAGTCACTTTACTCTTCAGTTAGTATCTCATAATTCAGACTAAATTAGTTATAAGAACTACATTTTCTGATTGTATGACAAATAAATGAATTATCTAGATTCATTACTTTAACTTGGTGTATTTTCTAGCTTTTCAAAAATCACCAAAATAAACAAATTTGAGTTTAGTGCTGTCTACTATAAGGGAGAACAGCAGAAGAGGTAGGATAAAATCAGAATATTTATTGAGTTTTTAGTATTTAAGGCTTTAATTTGAGTGCCAGGGGTTGTTTTTAGAAGAGGTCATGGTATAACAGTAAAGGATTAGTGATTGAGGAAATAAAAGGATTTAGAGACACTGGGATCAAAGAGTATGTGCTATAAATTGTGACTTAATGATTTCTAATGAATAAAGAGTTCCTAGAAGGACAGTAAGATACTTGTAGCTCTAAATTCTTGACCATGAGTCTCCTGGGATGATAAAGTAATATTGATAAAGATGGGAACAGCAGCATCATTTACATCAGTAATAAAATATGTGCATAATTTCAGTACTCATGATAGAAGAATTTTAGAAGAATTTCAGGATTTATGGAGTCACTCAATCGAACATTGAATCAGGACAATATTTCAATACCAAGACAAAAGATGACTTGACTTCCAATAACTACCACATCTTTGGTGTTTAATTTAGCACCTCAATCTTTGAGTTGCGTCATCAACTGAATGATGCAAATTTCTGAAATATTAAATGGAATTAATATATTGGAGTGAAGAGAATCTATGACATATCTTACTCAAATACATGCCAGCTTTATCAAATGTAAACTTGTCCCAAGTTTCTGGAAAGAGAACTTACAAATTGAGAAGGGCATCTTTATCTTAATGTAGTATCATAGTGATGTAGAACAGTGTTATCTTTGGTAAAGAGAAAATTTTCTAACTTACCTGTTATGGTTTTGAACTGATGATTATAAAAATTTCAGTTTCGTATGATTCAATTAAGGTCAATGATAAATGTAAAGTTCTCTTGGAATTATTGCTGATTGAATCCTCCAGGGTCTA